GTGCGGCACGGCGATGAGGCCCTGGCCGTGCGCGCGCGCGTAGATGGCCTGCGGCACGGGCGACCCGGCCCAGGGCGGGTCGCGCGGCTCGAGGGGGGCGTCGCTCGCCGGCGGGTCCTGCTCGTAGCGCGCGTGGACGTTGGCGTGCACCTTGACCTTCGTCGTCGCCGTGGGCAGGCGCCGGGCGACGGCGAGCGTGTCGGCGAGCAGGTACTGCTTGGACCGCTGCATGGGGCGCCTCGTCGTCGGCATGTAGTTGTTGGGCTTGTCCTTGATGACGCGCCGGTTGATGCGGATGCCGCCCGTGCACCACTCCGAGCCGGCCATCGTAGCGCGGTGTGGGCGTCGTCTTTGTTAGCGCGGAGTGGCTGCGGAGCTGCGTCGGTTTCTGCTTGGTTCAATAGAGCCGCAAACCCCCCGGGTAGGCCCTCTAGCTGTTAACCTCTCCTAGCCTAGAGCCGCACTTCCTGACCTTGACGCCAAAAGGGATCTGCGATGCGACTATATTTAGGCATCATCGCGGCCGCCGCGGCCGCCGCGGCGCCGCAGGACGCCGACGACGAAGCGATCGCGTGGCGCGGCGCGAGCGCGTCCGAGGCGGCGGCGGCCAAGGCCTGGGCGTCGTCGCTGCGGTTCCCGCTGGCCCCGCTGCTCCAGGTGGCGCTCGTCGCCGGCGGCGCGGCGCAGCCGCCGTCGGCGCTCCTGCGCGCCGACGCGGGCTGCGCGACGCGGGCCATGCGGTCCGGCGCCGCGCACGTGCGGCGCAACGGCACGGTCGTCGTCGCGCCCGTCGACGCCGCCGCGGTCGATTCGCTCGTGGACCGGTGGAACGCCGAGGTCGACGGCGCCGACAGGAGCCACCTCATGCCCTGGTACGACGTCCACGTGAAGCCCGTGCTCGACGCGGCGGCGCCGGCCGTGGGAATCAACGGCCTCCTGCGCGCGCTGCCGCGCATGCGCGGGTGCCTCGCGCCGGGCTCCGGAGGCGACGCGCAGGGCATGATGATGCACTACCTGGGCACGTACCTCGTCGACGGCCTCGGCGCGTCGGCGGCCGAGGCGCTGGCCCTCGTGGCGCAGCTCGGCGACCTGCGGCTCTTCAAGGAAGGGCGGGGCCTGACGCACGGCGTCGTCTGGGCCGATTTGGGGCGGTGGGCCGAGGACCGGGGGCTGCGGGTCCCCGTCTCCCTGAGCGACGACGACGCCCGCGCGGCCTGGGCGCGGGCGTCCGCGG